AATACATTTGGCCTTTTCTGAAATACATTTGAGTTTTTCTGAAATACGTTTGCCCTTTTCTGAAATACATTTGAGGTTTTCTGAAATACATTTGAGTTTTTCTGAAATTCATTTGGGCTTTTCTGAAATTCATTTGGCCTTTTCTGAAATACATTTGTGTTTTTCTGAAATACTGTTGGAAAAGGTGTAGTTTTTTAAGGAAAAATGGTATGCAGTGCTAACTTGACACCATACACCTAGTAGATAGAATTGACCCAGCCAGCAAAATATCCGGATACGTATCCGAAAATGGAAACAATTTCGTATAAAAACCTGATGTTTCATCCGTTTTCCGATTCCGTTTTCGGACGTTTTTCAGATCAGTTCTCCCACTAATGTGTTCATCCGAAACGTATGTGCAGAAAACTATCGAAAATGGTTGTAAAACGGATGCGCTTTCGGCTGTTTTCCTTAAATTTGTCTGATTCAATTTTTCGTTGAAAACGATTTCATTATGAACTTCGCAGAAACTTTTTCATAGTTACAGGAAACCAGCAAAAAAAAAACAAATTTAAGGTTCAGCAAGTATTTCATTTCAATTTGAATAAATAATTTTAATGTGTTGCTTCTGACGGAATTCGAACCTGGGACCTCCTGATAGCTAACAAGTAGTAGCACACTTCCTGCACACTCAGCTACTGGCGAATACGTATATATGTTTTCAAATGCTCAGGTTGAACAAATATTTTAAAATTATTGTTTTGAAATAAGATGATATTATTTTTCGGATACGAAAAATAAACAAATATGGAAATCGTTTGCTGAACGTTTCCGAATACGAAAAACGTACGAAAACTGCACTGTCGGTAAAGATTACGTTTCTCTGCTGGCTGGGGAGATATTGAAAATGTTATAGCAGCATTAATTGTAGTTTTTTTGTTGTAAATTTGTTGTGGAAAGAAAAAGTTTGTAGCTCTCGTGTTTTAAGAAGAAATGGTATGTAGTGCTAACTTGACACCATACACCTAGTCGATAGAATTGAGATATTGAAAATGTTATAACGGCATTAATTGTAGCTTTTTGGTTGTAAATTTGCTGTGGAAAGAAAAAATTTGTAGCACTAATTTTTTAAGAAAAAATGGGATGTAGTGCTAACTTGACACCATACACCTAGTCGATAGAATTGAGATATTGAAAATGTTATAACGGCATTAATTGTAGCTTTTTTGTTGTAAATTTGTTGTGGAAAGAAAAAAATTTTAGCTCGTTTTTTAAGAAAAAATGGTATATAGTGCTAACTTGACACCTACACCTAGTCGCATCTTTGTTTTTGTTTTTATTTTTACTTTGCCT